TGTCCCCATGTCCGGTGTCCCCATGTCCCCATGTCCCCATGTCCATGTCCGGTGTCCCCATGTCCGGTGTCCCCATGTCCCCATGTCCCCATGTCCCCATGTCCCTGTCCGGTGTCCCCAGAGGCGGCGGTGACGTTCGGCTCCCCGCGGGGGGCCCGGCCGTACCAGTACGTGCTGCGGGACACGGAGCAGCAGGGGCTGTGCCTGCGCCACGACCGCCTGGTGGCCACCAGCCTGCAGGGGGCCAATGCCAGCCAGGAAGGTGGGGACACCCCCGGGACACCGGTGACACTCCGGCCGGTGACAGGGGTGCCACTCCGGGGGGCAGGGGTGACACTCTGCGGGTGACAGTCCATGGGTGACACTCAGGGTGGGACAGGGGTGACAGGCCAGGGGGCAGGGGTGACAGTCTGTGGGTGACACTCGGGGGACAGGGGTGACGCTCTGGGGGTCAGAGGTGACGCACCCATAGGTGACACTTCGGGGTGACAGCAGTGACAATCTGTGGGTGACACTCTGGGGTGACAGTGGTGACAATCTGTGGGTGACACTCCGGGGTGACAGTGGTGACAATCTGTGGGTGACACTCTGGTGGGGAACAGGGGTGACACTTCCACGGGTGTCCCTCTGGCGGTGACAGCAGTGACAGTCTGTGGGTGACACTGGTCACGGGGGTGACGATGCATGGGTGTTACTCTGAGGGGACAGGGGGTGACAATCCATGGGTGACACTCGGGTGACAGGGTGACAATCCATGGGTGACACTCTGGGGGTGACAGTGGTGACACTCCCGTGGGTGTCCCTCTGGGGAGGGACAGGGTGACGATCCGTGGGTGTCTCTCTGGGGTGACGATCAGTGGTGACACTGTGGGGTGACAGCAGTGACACCCCCGTGTCCCCCAGAGCCCATCAGCGTTGTCCCCAACCGGCACCTGGAGCGCCAGCGCTGTCCCCTCCTCGTGGGCATCCGCGGTGGCAGCCGGGCACTGTCCTGTGGCACCGGGCCCGAGCCACAGCTGCACCTGGAGGTGACACGGGGGACACGGGGGGGACACGGGGACGGGGGGGACAGGGGGTGATGGGGGCAACTCAATGTGGGGTCGTGTGGGGCAGTGGGGACACTGAGGTGGGACAATCCAAGGTGGGACAATCCAAGGTGGGGCCACCCAGAGGTGGTTGGGACCCAAAGTTGGGTCAGCTCAAGGTGAGGAACCCAAGGTGGGTCAGTCCAAGGTGGGTCAGTCCAAGGTGGGTCAGTCCAAGGTGGGTCAGTCCAAGGTGGGTCAGTCCAAATTGGGTCACCCCAGTTGGGTCACCCCCAGGGGGTCACCCCAAGGGGGGTCAGCTGGAGCTGGATCA